TGTGCTGAAATGTGTCCAGAAAAACAATGCTATAAAATCCTATTGTAAAAGTTCTTAATCCGGCGTCCCTCAAAAGTTTTCCTAATTTGCACTGAACTGCCACGAGCATTTGAAAATCTCCCCAGCCCAAATTTCTTTCTCATCAATTAAAAGCGGAGTCAAAATTTAACAAGATAGTGTGAGGCCTAACCACAACGAAAAGGGAGAAAATCCCCAAGCATTTCTTCCCTGAATCCACGGAGTCTGCGGTAAGGGTGGAAAATGTGTGGAGTGCTCAGTATGAACTATCTTCATTTGTGGCTGCTCAAAGGGGAAACCACTTTTACACGCTAATCCTACTTTTAATCTGGTGTGTAGAAATCAGCGCTCTTCCCCTCAGCGTGGTCTTCAGTTCATAGCCCCCCCTCCCGAGTGTTTCTGATTAGTTAGCTGGGTGCCCATTATTCAAAAATGAGAGTCATCAAAAAAAAAAGAAGGAAATAGACATCCACCATCATGCCTAATTTCAAATAGTCACCGTGGCCTGTAACTCAATCCACATTGGGTAGTTTTTCTCTCATAAAAACAAATCCCTCATGTTCTGTATTGATGGCGTGCAACTGCAGACTGAAATCACTGGAAGCTGCATGCTGGTGAAAGCTAAACAAATTACTGTTCCCATGACAAGGGGAGGATTACAAACGTGCAATTTATAAATGTATCTTTTGCATTTTAGTTGTTTTGACCAGTTATGGTATTATAGATTATCTATATTTCAAGCAATCTTAGAGGAAATGTTGTGTATACGTTAGCACTTGTCAGGGTTCCTGGGTCGTTGACCCAGCGATTTCAGTTTGTTCGTGTTCAGTTTCCTACATGCTTGTGTTTCACTGTGCCAACCTTCTGTCTCTGTGCATTATGTTCTAGTTCCACTGCATGTGTCATTAGTCAGATTATGTTCAGCTGTGTACTCACCGGTCTCCAATCGTCATCATCAGTCAGAGTATTTAAGTCTTCAGTTTCCTTCTGTTCACCGTGGTGTCATTGATGTTGTCACTGCCGTTCCCGTGTGTTCAGTTCTGTTCAGTCACTTCATTTCAGCCAGCCGTTTCAATAAATACCATTATCCGACACCGTGAGTCCAGCGTTTGGGTCCCTTCCTCCCGTCCTCTCATCCACACACGACACTCCTGACAGCACTTTTCTGACTTTTAAAAAGCACATTATGTTATCTGTCATTTAAGAGCAGGTGTAGAAGAGGTTCGATTATACTGCAGAGTAACAATGGTTTATTACCATTTATTACTGCAGTTTTTTAATTAATTAATTTACAGTATTATTTTAATTTTATTTTAAAAGTTTCATTCTGTTCATCTGGATGTGACTGACTACTATGTTGAACAAACGGCCCAAAATTTGTGTTGCCTGACTGCAAAATGTGCAGGTCTTCAAAGCCCAAACGCTTGTGCTGCAGTTTGCTTGATGCAGCAGGAATCCTTTATTGCTTCAACACAAGCCATAGAAAAGAACTGTTTTCCTAGCACAGCGCTGCTGTTGTTCTGTTGTATGTGAAAGGCACAGCAATTTAAACAGTTTGAGGTCTAGACTTTGACCTGGCTTTTTTCAGCAGCTGTTTGCTGCTGTGCTTCGGATCATTGTCCTGTTGCATGAGACAATTTAAGCCAAGCAATTGTTGTCAGACAGATGGCCTCATATTTGACTCTAGAGTACTTTGGTATACAGAGAAGTTGATGGTTGAATCACTGACTGCAGAGCGCTCAGGTCCTGTAGCAGGGGGTCCAAAACATGACCCCTCCTCCACCGTGTTTTAACAGTTAGTATGAGCTGGCTTTTCTGCAGTTTCTCTGAGAATGGCACGGTCTGACCTTGAGGTGAGTTTGCTGGGACTCTTACTGTGATGGCATTGCGTTCACACAGCAGAATGTGCCAGCAAACTTCCAAACCCTGTCATTTTCACAGGTGGTTGCTGATGATCAGTTAATTTAATTAGAAGCACCTGGCTGCTACTTGGATTATTAATTCCTATGGGTTTACTTAGTTTTTTACAGGCCTACACAGACCTGGGCAATTTAAAGTTGCATTGTGGATCACGACTGGTTAAAAACCAACGAACTGCAAATACACCCTTTGATATTTCATATTTTAGTGAACACAGAGACAATCTCTTTCTTTAGAATGAAAATGAGTTGTTTTCTGAGAACAAACTGGTTTGGAATTGTAAAATACATCCATATACATTTTGATTGTTATTTAAATGTCTGGTGAAGTCTGACACTTTAAATGAAACCAAGACTTTTGTGAATTGCTGGATTGATGGCGGTCATAAAATATGACAAAATGCTGGTGATGTCGACAGACTGCTGCGGCAGCCGCAAGGAGAGGGCGGCTTCTCGTGAGGGCATATTCAGAGACAACACTTTAAGACTTATTTGCTTCTATTAAAAAGTTGGATGAAGTTCTACTTTTATAAATGCGCAGTAGATCATTTTGTTCCTGGCTCTCAATCACTTGCCAATTCTTCATTCACCTCAATTAGATTTCTCACATCATTACCAATGTTTAGTGACAGCTGTAGATTATGCAGAATGTCTTGCTGATTTAATCACCCTTAATGACTGGGCTAGTCCTGTGAAGACTGATACAAACATCTTTCCCAGATGGCAGAATGGGATATCAGTTATCTTTTAATGCCTGCTGCTGGGCTGGCACGGCAAAATGGCAGTGCCCTATCAGCGTGCCTGGTAATACAGAGTAATAAAAGTTGGCACAAATGAAATGAGCCAAGTATGTTAAAAATTTTAGTGAGACCCACTAAACGTTAATGCCAGACAAATAAAACAGAAGGGGAATGTGAGAGAAATACTGACTGGAGCTAAAGGAGAGAAGACGTAAGGAGTGTGCGTGCTGTGATGTTAAACTTGCACATATTCACACATCAGCATGCTCATGCAAGCAGCCGGCCATTTCATTCACAAGCCACTGACGTTTCCACAAACAAAGCTCACTCTTAATTTAAATTCTGTTTTAACAGTTATTTTAACAGTTAGACATATTTCAGTAAATTAGTTTTTAAAAAACGCATGACGCCACTATGTGTATATTTCACTTCACAAGCTCTTTTGTTAGTTGCTTCACAGGAACCTTTTATTTTCTTCCACACAGGAATATACACCATGAAAGAGAAGATCTCTGCTGTTAATTGTAAGCCCCGAGTGAAAGGAGGGTTTTTTTCTGTGTGATCTGACATATTTCATAATTAAAGGCCACAACACATGGAGACCTCAGACTGTAATGTGGTCGCACTGCATGGAAGTGGTAAGGACAAGCAGCGCGAGAGACTGGGAACTAGAGGGCAGAGAGAGTGAGTTTAGTGATGGGAGGAGGGGTGAACAAGGGCAAAGTGAGAGAGAAAGAGAGGGAGGAAAGAATAAAAGCATCTTAGTGCCAGGATAACAGCACAATACTTTGTCAAAAGTTGAATAAACAACTTTTATCAATCAGAATTATAGTCAATAGGGAAAAAGTGGTAGGCAGACAGCAAGAAGTTATCTTTTGGTTAACTTTTCTTTTCTATGGGGAAGCATGTTATTAACGGAGGCAAAAGAACATATATTTGAAATAAATTACTGATATAAAAAAGGGGGGAACTGAATCGTGTTTCAGACACATTCACTTTCACCTAATTTGCTGAAAATCCTATATTCAAGACTGGGAGGAGTCACAAGCCCAGCTGCAGGTGGACACAAGCTTGTACTCACAACTGTGATGACATTTCTGCTGCCCTCTTGAAAATGGCATTTTAATATCAAAAACACTTTTATCTGGATAAATAAAGCATATACAAAAATGATTTTGCCAAAAACTGAACGTATCTTTAGCCTTGTGACATCGTTCATGAGATGGATGGTTGACAGATTACAGCCCAAGAAGTCAGAGAGGCACTTTTATTGATATGTGACTGTTAATTTTGAAACTCATTTCTGCCAGACTGTGATGCACCTGAGACGAGTGCACAACACCAATTTACTTTAAAAACTGCCTTTGGCATCTTAGTGCTATATATCATATTTGGCTTGTCAAAGAAATGTAAAAAAAAAAAATAGCATATCAGATGTAATGCCTGCTGTCTTTGTATTTATGATGTGTGCAAATAATTTAGCTAAATATTAGCCTGAATTAATGAGCTAACTAGTTTTCTCCAAAATGGCACCTTTGGGTCAAAGTGAGTCAAATGTGTGGGCTAAGTTGAGCCACTCAGCCCTTCAAAAGCCACTGAAGTTAAATTAAATCTGAACTGCTAGAGAACCCATCGCTGATGACAACCAGAATATACTTTGCACCTGATTATAAACATATATTGATGCTACACATCTCACTTTTGGGGCAGTTAAATTCTGGTGGTAACTTTTTTTTCTTTTTATTCATTTGAGTGGCATTACTTTGTTTCAATCTCCGATAGTTTTGGTAACAGTATTCAATTTATTTAATCATTTTAATTTATGTTTTTATTTAATTTTGCTCAATAATGTCTCTGTTTTACTTGTTATTTTATTTTTTTAGGGGGGAGGTTTTCTTGTGTCTTGCATTTTTCATTAACATTAATTAATATAATCTTTCTTTGAACACCTGTACAGCTGAAAATCAGATTTTGTTGCACTGTACAATATATGTATGGTAGTGACAATAGATATATTCTATTCTATTCTATTCTATTCTATTCTATTCTTTAAATGCAATCAAAAGATATTGAAATTTAAACTTAATTTGATTGGTTTACTCATTCATTTAAATGGTCAGCTTACCCCCAGATGGTCCACTTATCCCTTAAGCTGATGCAAACTGAGCCACAGAGACACTTTTTCGCTAAGAAACCATATTTTTAAAACGTTTAAACAGTCTAAAAACTTTCACGGATGGTACTTACACATTCCTTTGTTTTCACTGACCTTAACGCTAACACATGAAATGAAAACTAATTCGTTTGTCACATCAGATAAAAGTTTACTTCACAACACAGAGAATCAGAGGCACATTTTTTATACACTGTAATTTGAACACTTTTTTTTTTACAGTTACAGTGGTTCAGAATAATCACAGATCAAAAGTAGCAATTTATTGTGAGTAACAGCTGATACAATTGATCCCATCCAGGAATTACAATATAAAATATGATGCGGCTTTTATTGGAAAATACTTACAAATGGAATGTGTCTACGCATGGTTTCGACTTAATATTTACAAATGAGGTATCATTGGTATATCAACTGCAATGCACTGAGGAATGTCCTGCAACATCAAACTGTATGTAGCATTCAAAGACTGGAAAATATGTAAATGCAGGCAAAGATTATTACATTACTCCCAATGTCCTGTCAGATGTTGGTATTATGTCCGGCTTTGTCACGCAATAAATACACTTCTTTAATAATAATAATAAAAAAATACCTGTTGTATTCAACAGAAACTATAAATATCACCTTTTCTTCTAATCTGTACATAAAGAATGTCAAAAACAGTTTAACGGTTATATATTTAAGCCATTAACTAAATTTGTCGTTTTCATATTAGCAGCACTATGTCCGTCTGAGCCTCAAAATACAACAAAACAGTGACAGTTCATGAGTGCTGCATGTCGTGTTGACTCCACTGAGGCAGAATGGACTTTGTCTCTCCCAGTACCCTGAGAACATTAGCCCTGTGGAAACAGTAAATGAGCATCTCTCCACAAAGAAGACTCTTGCTTAGTCCCAGCCAAAGTCCTGTCCACTCATCTGGTAGAAACGGTGGTTGAAGGGCCTGTAGAAATCTCTGAGTCTCTGCAGTACCTCAGAGGGGATCTGGGGATGAGGTCTGCCTTTAGACTTTCCGAGGCAGCGGGGTCTGCTGCTCCCCTCTGGCTTCTTCAAGCAGGGAAAACCTTTTGTCTGGTTGAAGTAGAAGTGCTTGTCTGAAACAACCCTTTTCAAACCCAGGAAGTCCTGAACTCGGCCCATCTCCCCAGCTGGATCAGACACCAGTCGTTCGCCGCTAACAAACAGAAACTGAGACAAAGGGAAGTACTGGAGCCAGTTCTCCAGGTGCTTGGCATAGAGGCCGATGCGCACAGCACTCCACGTGGTATCAATCAAACCTGTGGAGGAGTTTTTCAAAGCGAGGCTCTGGAAGGATGGAAGCCCTGGGTTCTTGGACAGCGTCTGGGTGTAGTCAGACACAGCCCTCGTCACCGGGTCCCTGACGACGACAATAAGCTTGGTTTGACAATTCATAGTGCAGATGCGACTTGGAGCTTCTTTGGTGACAAAGTAGCTGGGTGTCTTCTCCATAGTGATCTGCCCATCGAGTGTCCGAGGCATCAGGTTCCTAAATTAAAAAAGAAGAAACTGTCAGATAAATATTGACACAGTCTATTTCACTTCAGTACATCCAGCAGGTCTGGAGCTTAACTTCACTTGTTTTGATTTCTTGAAGTGTTTTTTTTTTTTTTTTTAAATTTGGCCACTTGAAGACATTATGTCCATATTCTGCTTACGTTATATGTCGAGCCAAGTTGTGTGAACCTGCTATGTTACATGTATTTAACTCAACAAAACACTCTTGATCCGGCTACACCACTGGTTTCTGAGCTACCACAATAAAGTTTCAATGTTTATAACTCAAAACCAGCACCACTTGCTGTTTTAATCCCATGCTACATTCAGCAAAAAGACCACTAAGAGATAATGTAAGAACATCACACACTGTTGCTATTAAAGCATCTCAAAATCTGTGTGATCAAAGCTTCAGACACTACTCTGTTAATGTTCGAGGGCCCCAGACAGCCCCTCCGGGTCTCACTGCAAGGTCTGCAGAACAGGACCATCCACTCACCACGGGCCCAGTGAGTCAAAACCACAAAGCCTCGAGAACCACTTAACAGCAATTTCCTACAGATTTCCACCCCCTCTTCTTCCTGCAAGAGCAAAATGCCCACCCCGTCACCATCACCTCCCAATAGGTTCCAACAAGGACTCAAGCAGGCCAAAGTCTGCAGGAAGTGCGACCGGGATGGCGAGCTGCTGAGCTCAGCTAGTGTGTTAAACACATGGCAGTAATGAGGAGAGATGCTGGGTAGAATATACCAGTGGAAAGACTTGTGCTAAATTAGGTGTTACCGTGTTGGGGTGATAGATTTTGCATTATGATGCAAAATGTACCTTAAGCTTTAACCAGCGCTGTGACATCTAATCTGCTGATTTATCTTTCATGGCACCTGCTCTCCTGAGATGATTAAGCAAGTTTTTCTTCTTCTACTGATTTGATTTAAAACCATCGAGTCACAGCTGCATGAAACACCCTTGACTGATGCGGACTCCTCTTATTTCAGCAATATCTGGCCAACAGACAGTGAGGGAAACATGGCGTTCAACAGGTCCAGCATTTATTCATGTGTTTACATTTAACATTGACAAACTGCCTGAGCCAGCATTGTGGTGGATTTGGATTTCGGAAACAAATTGTTTGCACGACAAATGGATGATGAGCAATGTTTAAAGCAGCAAATGAATCGCCTGCAGTTCATTTACCCAACACATCCTTTACTGTGTTACTGGAAACAGAGAGCGTTCATGTGGTTTCCCATAAAATAAACAAGTAATGGAGCATATGTGCTTTATTTGTTTCAGATTGCAAGTTTGCATTAACTCCAAATGTCAATGACAAAAGGCCATTCAGAAGTGTAGATGACATCCGAGGGGGGATTTGTTTTTCATTTTCCTGATTATTTTAATGAGTATTTGTAAAGTAACCGTGTATTAGTGCAATGTAGTAAAAATGCTTTTAATCAATTAGGAAAATAAACACTTTCAAATGGGTTTACTTGAGTAATGACAGTTGCATGCCCACATTATTTAAAGTGTTTCCTCTTTGATCTGAGGGAATTAAGGTTCAGCAAAGTTTCATGACTTCCCTTTCACGGAAACAAAGCAGCAGATGACTGTAGTCCATGCAAGTTCACTGACTTTACTTTTGCTCTTTAAAAACATATCTAATACAATATACCAGGGAAATATGAGAAAATGTACATCAAATGAAGAACAAGAAATAGGCTGTTGATATTTCACTCAAAATGAAGATCTTAACGCTTCAACAAAGTCAACCAAACACAGTAAAATCTCATTATAAGAACTTTTGACCACCTAGATAGGTTTTGTGCAATTGCATTAACCTTCTTCGTAAAAACAGTGCTCACACACGCTTCATTAAGCGTCATTAACCTCAACTGCTCATTAACGCAAACATATAATTGGCTGCGACTCAATGCGTTTAAGCATGCACACATGGTCAAGACTTGCAGAATTTCAAACTGCGCATCAGAACAGAGAAAAAAGTTGATTTAAATGACTTTGAATAAAATATGGTTGTTGGTGCCAGACTGGCTGGCATTTCAGAAACTGCTCATCTACTGGGATTCTCCCACACAATCATCTCTAGGGTTGAAAAAAAAGTGAGTGGCAGTTCTCTGGCTGAAAATGCCTCGTTGATGTGGCAGACTGCTTTGAGCTGATCAGGAGGGAACAGCAACTCAAATAACCACTCACTACAACCAAGGCATGCAAAAGAGCATTTCTGAACAAACAACGTGTTGAACCTTGAAGGAGATGGGCTAAAGCAGCAGAAGACCACACCGATTCCTTTCCTGTCAGTTGAGAACAGGAACCCGATGCTGCAGTTTGCACAAGCTCGCCAAAACTGGACAATAAAAGATTGGAGAAAAAAAAGTTACCTAGTCTAATGAGTCTGAATTTGTGCTGTAACACTCAGATAGTACGGTCAGAATTTGACATAAGCAACATGATAGCACTGATTCATCCTGCCTGTATCAACAGTTAGGGTTGCTGGCGGTAGATTGTTGGGACCCTTATTACTAATTAATTAAAAATGTCACAGACAAGTCCATCCCTTTATGACCACACTGTACTCATCTTCTGATGGTTCCTTCTAGCAGGATCACGTGAAATGTCACAAAACTCTAATCATGTCAAACTGGTTTCTTGGACATGACACTGGATTCACAGTACTCAAACAGCCTCTCAGGTCACCAGCTCCCAACCCAATAGAACATTTTTGGAATGTGGTGGAACAAGAGATTCCCATCATGGATGTACAGAGCCGACAAATCTTGGGCAACTGTTTGATACTGCCATGTCAACGTGGACCTAAATCTCTGAGAAGGTTTTCCAGAAACTTAGTAAATCTATGCCACAAAGAATTAAGTCAGCTCTAAAGTAAAAAGATGTGGTACTAACAAGGTGTTCCTGCTCATTTAACTCCTGATGGAAACTCTATTCTGTGGTTCAGTGTTTAGTTTGGTCTCTTATTTATGTAAAATGTTCTCTGTAGAAGTTTTAAGAGGAAACAAAGGTTAAAAGTGCACAATAAAGTACATGACTTTGAGTGAGAAGGAAACTTTTAGAGATTTGAGTCTTTCCTCTGCATTTAAAGTTAAGCCGTTTCAATCCATCCCCATTAAATGATCCCCATAATAAAAGACCATTAATTGATTACTATCCAATTTCAAGAGCTGCAAATGGCCTATCACTGCCTGCCCGTCCCCTGTTTATCTGTGTCTGATCAATACGTCTGTCTCTATATGACAGATTGTGCTCAGTGTGTGTCGCTGTGTGTATGACTGCTTTTTTGCACATGTGCATATTTGAGCACGGAGGTGTCAGTGAATACTGATGAGAAAATGAACATCTTTACACCCACAGTGTCCGTCTTCTGCTTTCTCATTCATAGTTTTGGATTTCTCCTTCACTTCTTCACATAAATGACACTTCTGTAATTGACCATAAGTTGTCTTTCCATATTCATGAATAGTTAATGAATTGTGACTTTACCCCACTCTGCTCAGGTCCCTATCTCCCTCATCACAATCAGTCTCATTATCGGAGAATCGATAGAGGCCATTTTCTGTCATAAATCTGTCTGTATGTGGTGTCAGTATACTGTAAACAGATCAGGGACAATTAATCTGCAATAATATATGCTTTACATACACCTCTTTGATTTAGCTTAAGGGAAATGCCTTTTAGCCTACTATTGTTAACATTTAAATGTGCAAAGAGAAGAACTCAAACATGTTTTCTATTTAGCGTTGTATCGGAAAGACTTGCTGACTCGCCACTCTAGTCTGGAACTCCCTGCTGTTAAAAGGATGTAGTGCTTTTCCTCCCTGAAGTGCTCCAGAGCTGATTACTCTACTGATATGTTCGAGGGAGCCTGGATCATAAGATTAAATAACAACCCTGGCAACAAGGATGTGGCCAAGAGACTTCCTGCCCCCCAAGATTATGGCTCTCCCGCTGAAGCGGGAGCCACATACTCCTGCGGCGCAGAAACAAAAGGTATTCTGCACAGAAGTGGAGCCGGAAAATCCAATTATCACGTCGGTTTGTCGATCTGAAATTCCATCAGTTATCACAGATACGCTACACACGGTCTTCCTGAAGGAGGCTTCTGCTTTGGCAGGCATCCACACCAAAAGGCCTTTTCAGCTGAGATCTAATTAAACAGGTGGTGAAAAATCAAGGCTATAAAAACGAGAGAGAGCATAAATGTCAAACTGAGGGAAACATTTCCCAACTGTGTCGCTATGCTCGAAGGGTGACAGAAGCAACCTGGAGGCAACGGAAAGTCTGTCAGTCTGACAGGATAAGTGTGGGAACCTTGATTTACAGCATCATGTCTGGATGAAACATATGTTGCTATTCCCCTCTGACCAAGCTAAGGTGGGCTAAACCAGTACAAACAAGAGTGTGGGGCAAATCTCATCTAGCTACAAGGAAGTGAACACATACAGCAGGAGGCATTATTGTCTCTAGGATACAAAGTGCAGTTTTTCCCCTGCTATCGCCATGTTTGAGACCTAAAAGTGTCACACATCAAAGTTGGAAAAGAACATAAGCTGATGTGTAGAAAGTGAAACATTGAATGAGAAAGTGTGGAGCAGAAACTTTACAAATAGTATTGCGTATGTGTGTGTGTTACCACTGAAGTGACTTTCAACCAGACACAAACACACTAAACACCTCTGCAAGTGTCAGTCACAGGACCACTGGATGGTTTGATCACAATTGGAACCCAGCTGCGAGAAAAAACTGTTGCCACCCTCTAGTTTTAATTGCATTGGATGATGTTTTCCTCTACAAAGTAATGGAGTTAGTAAATGGTTTTCTCTGCATGAGGTTGGCTGAAGTGCAACACTTCCACAGAGACCAGAGTGTGAGTGTGTGGGTGGAAAGGAGTTAAAATCACACACATACATGGGAAGGGGGGAGTCCATCTATAAAGGAATTACTTTATGCAGGTCGATGCCCAAT